TGACTATCACAACAGCCTGAAAAGGGTTGAAGGAAGAAGAAAAAACTTGCATCCTACTATATATACTATATATAGCACTCTTCGAGAAAAATGAAGCAGAATAAATAGAGATAAGAGAAGCATTAATCAAAGGCCTGATTTGGAAAAAAACACAAGACAGACTAACACAACTTCTAAATATGAAGGCAAGACAGAAGTTTATAGAGACAGTAGCAAAAATGCATAGAACACATTCTATAAACAGATTTGAAAGATATGGTGCAAAAAGGTCAATGAGTAAGAGAAAAAAGAAGGCATAATAACCAAAATAAAGAAAAAAAAAGTAAAGAAGAAGAATTCAAAGAAGAAAAGAAAGGCAAATTAGCAGAAGATTGAAAAGGAAAAGAAACAAGCAAAAGAGAAAAAAGATAGAATTAATAAAAAAAGTAGAAAGACAATGTTGAGACTTGTTGTGAAAGAAAGAAGACCCTTTTACTATAAACTTTAAGTAGTTAGACAAGTAGCCTACTTCTGTTAGAAGTAGTGCAGCAGGTTGCACTTAGGTACCCTATGGGTGGCCGGGTGATGCTAGACTTAGTTGTTAGGAAAATCTATGTAATTGCAAAAGTAATTTCAAGAATCTTAATAAAGTACTAGCGTGACTGCTTAAGTTAAAAAAAAAAAAAAAAAAAAAAAAGTAAATATTGTATGTTATAATACAAATGATATAAAGTCTATAATTATTAGTTTCTGCATCATTAAAAATTATTTGCAAAACATGATCAGTCAGATAATGTATAATTAGTAAAATAAGTGATTTTTAACAAAAGAACATTTTTTAATTATGTTATGTTATATCTGATTTCAAATAATTATTGTTAGTTAAGTATATGAAAATTTTTAATAGTAATAGAACCAGGTTCTAGAACTTAGTTAGAAGCAAATTGTAATCTAGTTCTATAACCTAACTTCAAAAACTAATTTTAAAACTTGGCTAGAAGAAAAATTGTAACCTGATTCTAGAATCAGGTTCTGAAACTAGGTTCTGAACTGGGTTTTGAAACTTTTTAAAAACCAAGTTCTGAGATTTTTAAAATAGAACTTATAGGTTCTGAAACCAAAACCAAATCTAAACCAACCTAACTATTCTTAGTAGTAAGGCATAAGTCTTACTTTATTTTTCTTTTATTTTTTACTTTAAATCTTTTATTATTTACTTTTATATTTTTGTGTTTTTTTTTTATATAAGTTTTATTTGTTTTTTTTTTTTATTTTTCTATAAAAAGATATTAGATTAATAATATTTTATTGTAAAATATATAGTAATTAAATGTAGCTTTAGATTATTCTTTTAAAGTTTGGTTTAATACAAACAAATTATTCATAAAGCTTATAAAAGTAACTATAAAATGTTAACTTAAAACTTAAATTTGAAATATTTGTATAAAGCATAAATTTTAATAAAAAATATTAGCAAATAAAAATATATATTTTTTATATTATTATTAAATTATTGTTTTATTTAAAATATACTAATATTTGAAGCAAATTTGTCTAAAATATAATTTAAAAGATAATTAATATTTATAATATTTTATTTTTGTTTTTTTGTTTTTTATTTAAATAATAACTAAATTTATAACTAATATATATTTATATATTTTTTTAATATTAAAGTGTGTACTTGTAACCTAGAATTTTATTGATAGTACATTTAGCTAATAGTTGCATTATAACTACAGAAGACAATTATAAAAAGAAATATAACTAACCATTTATACAATTTTAATCATTGTCTATTTAAGTAGTTTGCTTGAAGGTTCTATATTAGCTATCATACCTGAAACCTACTTGTAAATTTCTTATTTAAATACTTTAGTTCTTGTATCTGTTTATCTACTTATATCTACTAATATTGCCTAGTTGATACTAGTACAAATATGCTATAATTACTAAGTCTTTAAGACAGTTGCTCATATAAGAACTTTTAATCTTGTACTAAAACTTTTAGAATTTTTTGTATTTCATTCTTACAATTAACTTGGTAATACTATAATCAAGATTAATACTTGTAGTCAAAACATATTATTAAACTGCTATGCTCTTGTAGAGTTCATCCTAACTCAGATACTTACTTTACAACATATCTTAACTAATTTGATATTTAAATTAAGTTCTATCAAGCTTTTAGTTCAAATAATTTGAAAAAATAGATAAACTATATTTCTGGTCTATATATTTTCTGTTATATAAACTTTTTCTTTAGAACAAATTTTAGTAAACTGACTCATTGCAATAGTTTTTTCTTAAAGACCAATTTGTCTTCACCTAACTTCATAGATTATATAGATCATTTTATAGTTTAGTTTTTACAGTAACACTATTGAAAATTCAGATTACCTTTTTACTTGAATTTTTTAAATGAGCTTTTATCTTCCTGATTCCTGTGATTTACATAATTACAAAACTTATTATGAATTCATATTGCTTGATACTGGTTTGTGTTTCTTTGTACAAGGTTGTATAAATATCATATAACCTTTTAGTCATGCTGGTATGACATAGGTAACAGGTATTTAATCCTAACTAATTCTGAAAGATAGTTAACTATAATACAGAAAAAATTGTAAATTTTTTACTGATATTGGGATTTGAACTTTAGACCTGCCACTTAAAGGTTAACAACCTATTTACTTTATTAGATCACCACACTCTGTTATTTTTTTATTTTTTTTTATTTAAATAGTAACTGAATTAACTAATTTATAACTGATTTATAACTTATATAATTTATTTATTTTATTATAAAGTAACAAATAAAAATTGTGCAATTTGATTGGTTAATAATTACATGTAAACCTGTAAATTGATCTAAAAACTAGCCAATTAATAAAATTCTGTATATAAAAAAAGAAATTCCCAAAATTTTTGAGTCAGATCTGATAGATTTAGACCGGCATTTAGCGATACAAGTGGTTTGTGGCTATGACTTTATTAGTAAAACTTTTAGTGATCTTAGTAAAATTAGGTAATTTTTCCCTTTCCGATCCGGAAATCTGGGGACCTCTCTATAAAGGTACCTATTTAACGTAACACTAACCTAAACGGCTGTTAATTTGATTACCAATCGGATACAGATTTACTTTGCGTTTGCGTACGTGGTTCAAAAGATTATCAAATTAAAAAATCATATGATATAATTTGATAAAATTTGCTGTGTTAGTTGACTATACATAACAAAAAACGGATGTTTAATCAAAAATCGCAAATTTAAAATTTGTTTAGCTACGTGTGTACATATGTATAATTATCAAAAAAATAGATTATCGGTAAACTGTAAACATACAATTGTCTTAACAGGATCAGTTTATATAGTTTATATATCATACATATTGTATCCGACTCTAAGTGCAGATCTTAATAATATATTTTCTCAAAATGCAGGCTATTTTCTTTTTTTAACCAAAGTACATATATATAAGTACGGATACTAAGTGCAGGTTTTTAAATTTTTATACAAGCTCCGTATAATGCATTTAGGACAAATCTTCAAAATGCGAAACTTGTACGTATATTAGATTTACCCTACAATATTACAGCTCCTTTTTTTTTTTTTTTTTAATATAAAACCCGTTATCTGTTATTGTATATAACAAATTTGTATTTATGGTGAAGTGGATTTTAATTATCACCTTGGTACAAATAAATAGTCCCGTTACTCAATTAATTGGTCCGTTAAATGGTAAGATTAGTCATCAAATTTATTTGGTAAGGATGGCAATAAATACTACATTGAGTGGCCAATTAATGGGTACGAATGATTTCTGTACTACACTTTATTTGATATCACCAATTATTTCATCTGCAAACAAATATTATTCGGTGTGACGAAAGTTTTGGTAGCGTTAAGGTTCTCTCCGACTACATAAAAAGCCTTGAGAGCTTAAAATAAAGGCTATTGTTTCGTTTATTTGTAGTTGTGTTATATATGGTGCCTTGTACAATGGGTCAAAGTATATGTAGATGGGATTTATATATCCTAGAGAGTGTGTGAGAGAGAGTGAGATAGAGAGAGAGAGAGAAAGGTACATTATTTCACATCTTGAATAAAGTTTTGGTAAATTTAAAATCAAAAATTCTTTTCACAAAACGTGTAATTTCTAGACAAAATTACAAGGTAACGAATTGTTGGACATAACGACAAGTTGTAACCGAAAAGTAACCGAAGAGTTTTAAAGAAGATGTGGCGATTGCTGTTAACCCTGAATGTAGATCACGCAATTTCACATGACATAAATACTTTTTGAGGTTATCAGAATGCGATTAACATAATCATGTGATTCGTTCAACAAATCATCTTTGGAATTGCGATTAAAATTGTTAGAAAATAAAAAATTCATTATATATAACTATTTTCTTCCCTATTTAAGACCCATGGACTATATATTTTTTTGTGAGAAAAAATTTATTAATAAATTAATTTTTACGTTTTGATCTGTTCATCAGCGAAACGGGAAGCCAGGCACATGTGTATATATATATGTGTATGTAAATATGTATGTATGTATAATATATATAACGAAAAAAAAAATAAGTGATAATGAATAATACAATTTTATAGTTGTGCGCCCTGGTCTGCCTTTCCTAATTTTCAGCTTGTGTATATTATCATGAATAATAATTTCCTGAGAAAATAGTTAAGAATCAAAAAAAAAAAACAATTAAAATAAATATGTATAAGATTAGAGAAATGCGTAATATAAAATATTATAATATAAAAAAAAATTAACAAATGAATTGAAAGCGTTTTTTTTTTTTTTTTGGTCGTCATTTACCACCATATTGCCGATGTATATTCAGCGAAAAAAAAAATCAAAACTTTGATAAAAGAGAAACGAAATACTTGTAGCTAATAGTCAAAAAAAAGTTGAAAAGAAATTAAATTAAATGATTTATTCTCACCTGATTCATTTGCATAACTCACGGGAAACAAATTTCCCTCACAATCAGAAAATTTTTGATTACTTCCACGAATTGTCAAATATTCCTGTCAATGCATTCATTTCTCTTGGTGTCGTTACTCGCAAAGTATCCGCAATTGTGTTCTTTTGATCATACGGACCAGGACTTGGTGTTCGATTAATGTTTATTAGTGACAATCGTTTCCGCCCATCGATTTCTCCCCTTGTATTAATCCAAAGACCATGACCATCGGAACCATTCCCATTATTAACTATAGAATCAGTTCCATCTTCTACGGGGATAGGTATTTCTTCATTGACAAAGGCTTCAGCTACGTTATCTAGAGCGGAGGGAATAGCAAGGTCTATAGCTTCGTGAACGCTTAGACGATCGTGATTTTCAATATCACGTTCAAAAATCGAATGTCGTGATGGTGTTGGACTAGGAGTGCGTAAATCTTCGGGTGTTAAGTTATAATCGTTGGAAGGTCTAGGACTGGTTGGTGAACGACTCCTGGAAGAATGTTCGCTTTTAGTTGAATTTCTACGAGCAAAGGCAGCGAAGAACGACGGTCGCCCCGATTTATGACTAAGACTTCTCACACTTTGAGTAGGACTAGCTGGAGCAGGCGTGGTTTGCGAGTCTTCTCCTCCTTCTATCGTAGAATTCGCAGTAAATATAATGAAAATAGTTTTTGTTTTTATTTATTTATTTATTAAGGTCATTTGTGGTTTGTATGAATAGGGATTTTTAAATGGTTGAAAATGAAGTGTTAGCTAAATATTGTTGCGTTCAAAATATGAGTTTTTCGTTGTGTACCCTAAAACCTTAAAGGTTCAGAACAAACGGAAAATCATTGACAAAACATCTAAAAGCCATATTCTAGTTTTACGTTGAAGCATTTTGCTAACAACGTAAAATTAAATCAATGTATGTCAAAGTCAAAACAAGAACGTTTAACTTGGACATACCTGGAGCACTATCATAAAACAAAGAAGAATGTTTCTTATTACTTTTTCGACTATTAAAAGTCATGATTTTACGAAAACCTTGTTTTTGTTGGGTTTGTTGTGATTGTAGAGATGTGATGGCACTCATAGGAGTGTTCAGTTTGTTAAGAATCAGTTTGGATGTAAATATTTGTTTAAGTAAAGAAATTATTTACTTGACTAGTTTTATAACTAAAAGGTCACTTTGTAAAAAAACAAAAAGTATGCAAGACTACAGCGAAGGGCTATCAACTCAACTCACGATATTACAGATTTAACAATCACACCCTATGATCATCACATTTGCCCAAGTACACCTGATTCTAGTGACAATATCCCTTATCCCTTAATTTGATTTGCTTCTTTTCCTCTTTGGTCCAAAAAATTGTCACATGCTCAATGCACATACATACGTATTTACATATGTACATATCGATATCGATGTATTTCTACGTATCGAATTTCATGACACAATTTAAAAAAAAAATTTTCGAAGAGGAATTTAAACGAATCAGGATTTATAATCAAAATTGCCTTATGAGTCTATTCATAAATATAATCGCCTGAATATTTTGGTGATCCTTATTCGTTATAGAATTAAGTTCCTTATATAATGAACCCTACAACGAATCCTCTTTATAATGAACTTTAATAAACATGTACCGAAAATATATGATGCGATCTATGTTATTTGATTTTATTTAACATGGTTATTACTTAGACATGAAATCTCAAATAATTCAATAATTAATATTTATTTGTGCTAAATGGGAAAGTCCGAGTGATGCGATTAGATTCTAATCATTTTATATTTATACAATTAAATAAAACATAAGTTACTTATTTTGAATCGCTATAACCAAGGTTCGGTCAAGTAACCGCCGTACAAAAAATGCTCAACTGTTATCGATAAAATTTTGGCCCGCATTATATTCCCAAATGGATTTTTTTTTTAACTGTCCTAGTAGCAAAAATACCGTTCCTGATGGATCATCGGCACTGTTCCTGATAGGGTAAAAAAAACAAATATTGATTTACATACCGTTCCTGATAGGTTCTAAAAAAAGGGTCTCTAAAATACTATACTACCATAGTGAAATATATGAAAAATGACAAGATTAGGGTTCGTTTTTAAAACCCTATCAGGAACAGTACTCAAATAAAAATTTTTTTTTTGAACTCCATCAAGATCGGTACCGACGATCCATCAGGAACGCCAATCAAATTTCAAGATCAGGTGTTACGCAAAAAAAATCGGTCATAACTCAAAGTTTTCCCTTGTGAAATTTTGTTATTAAGAAAACTCCTTTTTAACCTAAATTAATAACAAAACTAACATTAAAATAGCAGCGAAAGTTTTTAGGTTGGTAACACTAGGACAGTTGATATTTTTTGGTCTCGACTTTGATTGGCTAAGAGCGACGATCAAACAAATTGACCAGATTTGTAAGTGAAAATTGTGCGGGCCTATTTCTTTAAAAATTTCTATTTTTGGGGGTCGTCTAAAGCCGTGTACCCACGTGACTTTTTTATGTAAATCAACCAACCGGATCAGTCCGAAGTTGGCAAAAAATAAACCTATCCTAACCTTAATTTTAATAAAACGTCAAAATCACGTGGGTACATGGTCCGGCCGGAAATTAGTAAACAATTATGTAATGCGGGCCAAATTTTTGCAGATCCACGGCCGTTAGCGAGGATCTGCAATGGTAGCCGGACAGATCTGCCGGGTACATGTGATTATGTGATTCATTTTCATTACCATCATTACTGCTGTGCTGTTATTGCTTAAAATTTTTATGGATTTGCTTATAGTTTCATTCTACTTTATATTTATTTGAATTTTTATTCTTTGATTATTAGCACATTTAAATCAACAAAAAAAAATTTTTTTATAACGATGAATCGTTTTTTTTACTATGTCAGGTCAACAATCCAAATCCTGCACAGGGTGTCATATTATTCAAAATAATGATTTTTTGAATAAAAAGGAATCAAAGTAAAAAAATGGTTACAATGCCGAAACCAAATTAAATTATCATGTTCAAAGAACAACCTGTCAAAAACAACCTGACACGACAATTATAAAATTTTATCTTGCAAAAAAATTCAAATATTTTTAGAGCGATAGTAATAATGAAATAAATATAATAATTTATTTTAACATGAATATTTTTTGGTAAATTAAATATAATTTACCGTTACCATCCATTATAACCTTTGGATTATTGGCTTAGTCTCAGAAATAAAAAACAAATGCATGTAAAAAAATCGAATTTGCCTACAAATATAATCAAAGGAAAACGTATAAACAATAATATTTTAAGCGATTCATGTTATTCATTAAACAAATTCTTTTGAAAAACTTAGAGACCATATTTATTGTTTGATAACAATTCATAAATACGCTAAAGACATTTTCTGGT